TTGAGCTACGCAACAAGAGTTCTAAAAGTAATTCTCTTGTTGGTTCGAGCCATCTGACCGCACTTGCCTAGCTAGTTTTGGCCCTGCCAAGAATCATACTGAACATGGAATTTGTTTGGGCCTAATTTTCCCCTCGTCTCTCTCTCTCTCTCTCTCTCTCTCTCTCTCTCCCATTATGCTGAGTCAACTCACCGGCACTCATTTCTGCCTAACTGGGCAGAGCAGATGCAGCCAAGAAGATGAATTGTGAACAGCGCTAGGCCTTGCTCGCTGGCCCGGCATGCCCTGGCATCTTATGCAAAGCAAAATCTTGTTAATTTCCGTACTTTGGCATCTTACAGAAACCCGGGGTGTCACCACACCAACTCTATACCGTTGCTTGATTCTCCTTACGTGACCATGATAAATGCTCTAACAAATTGCAGTGAAGTACAGTTGTGTCTTCATATTATCTTTGGCCAGCCATGTCGAGGTTAGTTGATTGTAACTTCCTCGATTCGACGGTGGAGCTTAGGAGTTAACATGACTATTGGTCCACTCATTCTGGTCTGCTGTATCTTTATTGGGCTACAATGCCGCATGCAATGCATGCTTATAACAATTCAAAGTCGTTCTATTGCTGGTTGCAAAGTGATATTCTGCTCATCATCTTTTTGGATAAAATGAATATTAGGTTCAAACAACTCCTCTGCACGTGCCCTTGGTGATTTGCGCAGTGTTCTCCGAAGATCATGTCGGTGGCCACTAGACTCTAGGAAATAACTATAGGGATAGGTCTTCTTCAAGATTATCATGCATATGAATCTCATGGTAAAAAACATAAAAAAAAAAAAGGTTACATGCTTCTAACAAACAAGTAGTTTCACGTCTATGATTGCTTTTTTATTTTCATTTTGCTATTTGGTAAATCTCATTCACCCTAAATAAAAGATGATACAAAAGAGATTTTGGGCTTTTCATAATACAAAAAATGGAGGTGGGAATAGCAAACGAGAGGAAAGGGAAAGACCCAAACAACATGATCAGAAAGAAAAATCTTCTCAAGAGATCAGGACATCTGCTTAAAAATAAATTATTTAACGTGATTTACAATAGTAACAATTTTCTCGTGACAGCTAAAATTGTTGGGATTAAAAGAAACAATGAGTTACTGCGTATCACGTCTGGGTTACGTCTGGGGTTGCTTTGAAAAATCCCCATGAATAGGTTTTCAGCAGTAGATTCGTAGTCATCTCATGGCCTCCCAATTTTTGTCACATCTTGCCATGGAGAAATGGTCCAAGTTGTTTTGCCCGAGGAAATTGCTTGCCAAATGTATTACTGATACCACAAAATTTTCTGAGCAGTCTATGCACATAGGGATGATTCCATGTCTGTCATTGACATCACTTCGAGATACAACATCCAAGTACTACAGTTCAATGTTGCAACTCTCAGCACAATCATTGTATTTGTACAAACCTGTCTAAAAACTAACAAATAAATAAAAATCATCGATCACTGGATTTTTTCAACAAAGTGAATGACATGAGTTTGATCCCTAACCCAAATTACGCAGCAAATACGTCATTGAAAAAGAAATGTGGGGTTTTGAAGCCACTTGTTGTAAGCTGAAATAATTCTCAAAAAAGCAAAGGTTTCCTCCGATGCTTGGTTCCACACCATCGCATGACCGTTTTTAACATGTGGCCAGAAATGCCATGCAAAGCCATTGCAAACCCTCCTCCAGTAATAATAACAGTAGAATAAATGTTCTTTCTTAGTTAGGTGGAGCCAAAAAAGGATTCGAAACAGTTGAATGTGTTGGGTTGATTAGACGTGAGACAATTAGATACACATGCAGAGGAAAACAAAGAAAGCATGAAAGGCGGGAAGGTTAAGTAATTATACAATCCACAGCCACACAGATTGGATAACAGGCCCTAAACTCTGATTTTCAATTGGGCGGCATGATTTTTTGGCTAGGGAGAAAATCTATGGCATCCATTTGGCATGATCAGGACTGTGCGACTGCAAGGTCCACGCAACTGTCTGCTCTTCCTTTTCTTTATACTACCAAGAACCCATTATTTTTCTCAAAGGAAGCATCTGGAATTCTCAGTTTCGAAGAGTTATGTTGGGGCATAAAGAATAATAAATGCATGGAAAAAATTAGAATAATTTTTTAAGCATAACAAATGTTTTTGGCCAGTGTGTAGCTTTTGTTGCCGTATAGTAATAAAGTCTAAGTGAACATGCGTGACATGCACATAACTGATATTATTGCATAATTATGGGAAGCAAAGTACGTTTGATAAAGAATAGAGATTCATTGTCAAATTAGGTGGGCAGTAGTAGGAATATTATTATGTCTAGTGGGGTTTAGCATGGGGCAGCACGAGACATGAAAATATTATTAATTAAAGGGAAAATAAATTAGGTGGTAGTGTGGAAGGAGGGCTTTAAATCAAATGCCAACTAAACATTAATATTATTCTTATGAAACCCAATAGCCGAAAATATAAATAAAATGTGGACATGACATGCAAGTTATTATATAAATAAATATATATATTATTCGAACTCTCTAGGTTTTCAGGTGGGAAAAGAAGATCGGTTGAGTTCGAAATTGAAGATGGATGGTGTGATGATGACTAAAGATTTTTGGGGCAAATTTAATGACGAAGGCAAACAGAAAAATTAACTTTACAAAAAAATAAAATAAAAGCCATTAAAATTGTGGGTCTGAGCTTACATAAGAATGGGTAATATAGTACTGCTCAAAGCTTGGCTGGGTTTGTTTGCTGTGTTTGCGCTAATTTTCTTCTTTGATTTACGTGTTAAATCGAGCCACATCAATGTCATTATATTGATTGCACCAACCGAGGGAACATTCTGCTGCCTTTTTCCCCTTAATTATTACTAGTACCTAGTTGAATTGATTGGCCATCTATATGCCTAGAGGCTAAATGTTGTAAATGAAAAACAAAAGCTCAAACAGCAATCACATAATTATTGTTCCCACGCTTAAAATCTTTTACTGTTTGGGTTACGTGATTAGTGATGGATATAAGTTCTCCCTTACATCAAGATTTGATGACAGATATTTTATAAATATAATTACAAACGAGTCAAGTTTATACGTAAACTATTTAAATTTGATTTGATAAATATTTAAATTTAATTTATTCATTATCAAGTCGAGTTTGAATTTGAGTTATTTGAGTAACGAGTCATGTTGAATTCAAATTTTATAATATAATACAACTTGTGAGCCTCATTGATTTTTTGTTTAATTTTATTAATATATATAAATAAAATATAAATTTTTACACGTTATTTTAATATTTATTTTTAAATTCGAATTGAAATCAATGTATGAAAATTTTATATAAATTAGTGATAATTGAATCTAATCCAGTTGAACTCGAGTAATGTAATTAATCTTTAATCAAATTGGAGTAAAAAAAACATATAAAACATGACCATGTTTTCTTGTAAAAGTTTTATTAAATTGGGCTTGGCCTAGCACTGCATTGACTCGACTTAACTCAATTATACCTTCAATATAATCATGGCATTATTAAAAAAGTTAATTAATTAATTAACTAATATATTATATCTTTCTTTCCTTTTTTCCCATATTATATGTGCTATGTAAAATTAATCTCTAGGAATCCTTTTTCCTAAATTGGATGGCTCCGTTCTTGATTCTAAAATGGGAAAATAAGGTCCATCAAAACTATTTGTCACAACGAGAAAACTAAAGGCATTAAGTCAAACCATAACGAAAATAAAGAATATGGTCTGTTTATTGAGAAACAACAATATATCAGGCTCGTGCAAGAATCGGGCCTTGTACTCTCTATATGTTTATTTCGGCTTATAGACAAAGATTTAGTACTTTTCAAGTCTCTCTCTCTCTCTTTTTTCGAGGACTTGAAATTCGATTTAATTGTTGCTTCAACAGCTGACAGTTGCATATAATTTTCCACCTTATGAAACGAATCTGTTGAACATCAAGGCATCATTCTTTTGAGGTTTCTTTAACTAAATAACTGGATGGAGACAACCTTAACATAAAAAAATGGATTTTAATTAGTATATAATAATTATATCATATGCAATTTGTGTTGACAGAGAGGGGTTTAATTATAAAACTACTAAAAACAGAATTACAATTGATTTTCTTTTGAAAAGACAGGGAAAAGGGTAAAGTCATGAAATTGTCGTTTTAAGCAGCTACAACCATGATCATTGACCATTTTAATTTGAATAAAGGATAAGATAAAGATGTTAACAAAAGCCCCAAGACCTAGTTTATACTGGTAGGAAGTACAAAGAAAAGTAGAGGAGGTACGAACGACAGCAGACAAAGCACATAGCCGCCTCATCTGATCCGCTGCCGAAAATCCGGAGGCCAGACATCTAGCCTAGATTTTTGTAACAGCTGTGTTTACATTGAATTGAACCCAAATTCTCCTCACCTCCCTCTGTTTGGAATTGTCCGTTGCCATACCAGATCATGTCCGTACTATCTGTCGTGGCCGCACTATGCCAAAAAAAAAAAAAACCCCATAAATCCACGTAAAATGTTTGTAGGATTAAAGACAAGTTAAATTCACAGTAAAACCAAAGGAAAAACCATTCAAATAGTTCAACTTAACAGGTTTACCCAAGCAGAAAATGTTCACTTTTTTTCCCAATTTATTCATAATGATTTGACATTGAATTTTCATTACTTAGAGAGAAAAAAAAAAGGTCTCCCCTTTCGAAAATTGACAAACAATTATTAATCGCTGCAATGGCACACGTGCAGGTTTCTCGCATTCAACTGAAAGGAAAAAAAAAAAGCTCTAAAACAAGGGCCTGATGAAGTGATAATTAGCGGTTAATTTGTAATTAAAACAGTGAAAAAGCAAAGGCCAGTGAGTCAGAAGTGGAAATAGTACGGGCAGGGCAGCTCAGCAACACTGCTCGCCTCTCCAAATTTCCTTTCTCGTGCCACGGTCCACCCGTTTTCACTCCTCTCGAGATTTTCCGCCTTTTTTTTTCCCACCCTTTTTTACTAAGCTACTTTCCATTTATTTTTGTGTTTTTAAAGCACACTTTGTTCTCTCCATAGAAAGAGAAGGAGAGAAGGAACTGGAATTCCCCACGGGAAGGTGTCAAGGTGATGATGAGATATGAATAAGCGTTATCTTGGGCTAGAAGGACTTTTCATCAAAAACCCCAGGTGCCCAAACCCTACCCACTGAATCACTTTTTTGTTTCTCTCTCTTTTGTTTGCTTTATACATTTTTTATTGGTATAAAAGAAAGAAAAAGGAAAACACCCATCTTATTTATCTATTCATTCATAGTTAGTTGTTTATCATTTACTTATTTTTCTTATCATTTTAATATCTCCTCTCAATTGCTTTTTTTCACTTTGCACTGATCTGTTGTTTACAATTGTTTTGAGATTTGAGTTTTGGCTTCAAGCCGTTGCTCTTTATATTGTCTTATTAGTTCCAGTGGGTTTTAATTGGGATCTGGGTTTCTGGGTAGTAGTTTTATAGTTCTAAAAATGAACTGAATCTGTGTTTTTTTTTCCATTCTTCTTTTTGTGGGTTTTTGATGTTTTGTGTGTTTCCCATGTTATCCTTGTAGGGAAGTTACAACGTTGCCTAGGGTTTTTGTGAGAAGAAAATTTAGGTGGGAGGGTGAGTTTTCATGGGTTGAACTGGTGAGTTAATGATGGGGAGTTTAAGTGAAGAGGAAGATCAATTCTTTGACACCCGTGAAGACATCACCTCTGTATCTGATTCAGGATCCGATTGTCCCGAGAATTCTGATTCTGAGTGTCCTGCATCTGTTAATTCAATGCCCCCTAACTTTGGATTTGAAATTTGGATTAAGAACCTCAGCAGCATTCGTGAACGACGTGATAAATTTCTAAAATGGATGGGTTTAAGTGTAGATCAGGCTGTCAGGGAAGGTCCCTCTAACATGTGTTGTGATGAAATTGAAGTGGAGACTGATAGAATTATGGAGAAGAGTGGCGCAGTCTTAGGATCGTCAAGTTTTGATGATGGTTTTTCATCAAGTCAGTCTTCCATGTCTTGTTGGTCAAGTGATGCCAGGGAGTTGTCAGATGGGGCATTGGATGATAATTTCAAGTGTAGGATTAAGAATTTGGATGATGGAACAGAGTACATTGTGGATGAACTTAGTCAGGATGGCATGTTCAGGAGACTGCAGGAAGTAGGTTCTAATCATTTGCTTACCATTGATGAGTTTGAAAGGAGGCTTGGCTTATCCCCTCTAGTTCAACAAGCAATGCGTCGAGAATTCAAGGAGGTTTCCATTTTAGGGCCAGAAAGAAAGCAGGGAAAAAGGGGATGGCTTAGGCGATTAGGTGCTGTTGCTTGCATTGTTGATAGGCAGGTTGAAGCTTCTCGAATGATATCCAGTGATTGTTATCCAAATTTAGAGGCTAGGATTCAAATGGTTCGAGTTAGATCTTACAAGAAACGGTTGAAGGAGTTCTCTGCTCTATATATGGGGCAAGATATACAAGCCCATGAGGGTTCAATCTTAACAATGAAATTTAGCCCAGATGGTCAGTATCTTGCAAGTGCAGGGGAAGATGGTATTGTGCGTGTGTGGCAAGTTGTGGAGTCTGAAAGATCAAGGAATTCTGACATTCATGATGTCAATCCTTCATATGTCTACTTCACAGAAAATAACTTTTCTGAATTAGTTCCTCTTCATGCGGACAAAGAGAAAAAAGGTAAATTGAAGAGTGTGAAGAAAAATTTGGACTCAGCTTGTGTCATTTTCCCTCGTAAAGTTTTTCAAATTTCAGAGAAACCTATCCATGAGTTCCATGGGCATTGTGGTGAGGTCCTGGATCTCTCATGGTCAAGGAATAAGGTCAGTAATTGCTATGAAATAATTTGCTAGAATTTATTTGGGTTTGTAATTAAAATTTATGTATTGCAGCATGTTCTATCGTCCTCTGTTGATAAGACAGTTCGCTTGTGGCAAGTCGGATGTGACCAATGCAAAAAAGTATTTTCCCACAATAATTATGGTAATGTGGTTCAACTCATGCTCGAGTTTATTGTATCTTATTTTTTGTAGTAGGCATGTCTACTAAGGTGAGCAATCGCCTTGGACATTGTGATTTGTATCATTATAATTGTTTGATGTACTTATTGGTAATTGCGCTGTGATACAGTGACATGCGTTCAGTTTAATCCTGTGGATGATGATTACTTCGTAACTGGTTCCATAGATGGGAAAGTGCGCATCTGGGCAATTCCTGGTTCCCACGTTGTTGATTGGACTGACGTGACAGATATTGTCACAGCTGTGTGTTATCGTCCTGATGGAAAGGTTCGCTGGAGCTTTTCTTAGCTAATTTATTTAGCAATCAGGTCTCTAAATACAATGATTTTTCAGTTCATTAATTCTTTTTCTCTGCAGGGTGCAGTTATTGGTTCAATGACTGGCAATTGCTGCTTTTATGATGCTTCAGGTATATCTTTATTTTCCTAGTCCCTCGTATGAAAAACTTTTGTATTGTTCAAAAATATCTCTGCTAATGTAATATGATATATTTGAGGATCTGGAAAACCTTACTCTTTGTTTAGCAGTGGCTTTGATTGTTATCATTTTCTTCTTAAATTTGACCATGTTCAATACGTTGAACTAGAATGTTGTGAGGATATCATCAGAATAGTGCTTGGCTGTAAGAAATTAAACAGATTGATGTTTATTTGTTTCTATAAAACAATCTATCTGTTTCTAGAAACTTATAAATTTAGAGGGCCCACACAGATCAAGAGCAAAGGAAATCATTGTCTGCTGTCTGCTAATGAAACTTGGTTTTATTTTTGTTGAATGAATTAAACCTCGGCTGAAAATGTATCCTTTAAATTTGGTAATTGATAAACTGGAATTTACTGCTGCAATTTGAAGGGGAATGCTGGTGAATTCTCCTTTTCAAATCCGTTTTCTGGCTTTTCAGGGGAACCTTATTGTCTCATTTTTGTTTCCAATTTATTTAAGCTGAATTTTCTTGCTCTTATGGTGGCAGCATGGTAGTATTGACTGATGATTTACATTATTTATGTTCCAACTCCAAATGTTCTCTACTGAACCTATAATAGATGCCTTTATAAAAGTTATTTTTTTGGCAAACACTAACTGGTCTGCTTACATGAAACAGATAACCATCTGCAACTTAATGCTGAAATAGGTTTACAGAGTAAGAAGAAGTCACCATGCAGGAGGATAACTGGATTTCAGGTATTCACCATTCCATCTATTTTTCTTTTTTCTGCTTTTCAAATATCTATGTTCTCAAGTGAGCTTCCAAGCACTGGAAAGTTAAAAAAAAGGAATTTTCTTCTGTAGTTTTCACCTGGGGACCCAGATAAATTGATGGTCACATCTGCTGATTCTCAAGTCCGAATCCTCCATGGTGTTGATGTGGTATGCAAATTTCGAGGTAGGTACTTGTTTGCACGGTTTAATTCATATCAAATCCAAGTCTGTTGCGACTTTGGTAGATTTGTAATTAATTGGAACTGCGCTAATGAATAATGATTCACTGAGATGGAAACTAAGTGATGCAACAAGGAGATATAGCAAACATTGATCGAAGTTTGAAGTACCAAATTCATAATTGTTTTGAGGGAATGTTTTTTGAAATTTTATTATATAATGTTTTCCCCCCCTTTTTTGAGTCTGAAGGGAAAGGAGAGTGGAGTAAATGGATTGAAGGCAGTAGAGGAGTAGAGGTTCGGCTGGGAAAGGAGAGAGGGTATAGAATTCATTATTACCATTGTATACTGATTTGAAACCATTTCTAAATATATTTTGAAGAACAAAAATCGATCATGATCAAAGATAATAAAATTAGAATATTCTATTCTTGAACTCTGCACTTATCCTACTCTTTATGCTCAATCTAAACACACTGTTATTTGGTTTAAACTCTCAGCTATATGACTCTGTTCTCTCTCTTGAATTGCCTTCTCTATCTACAGGCCTGCGTAATGCAGGGAGCCAGATATCTGCATCATTCACCTCGGATGGGATGCGCATTGTTTCTGCAAGTGAGGATTCTTATGTCTATGTGTGGAACTACATTAGCCAGGACAGCTCAGTACCCCAAGCAAAGAACAACTGGTCTTGTGAACGATTTTTCTCGAACAATGCATCAGTTGCAATACCTTGGTGTGGGATGACATCTAGAAACTCTGTTTTCTCCAATTTATCAGGAACGTCACCATCACCTAGAGTTTTTTCTAGCTCATGGAGGTGCAATGAATATACTGGGGCATTGCAATCTGAGTTGGGTGAGAGTTCTCAACACAAATTGCCATTCTCATCTTCTGAACGTTTTTCACTGGGCCATGGATTTTTTTCAGAATCCTTGCCCAAAGGTACTGCAACCTGGCCAGAGGAAAAGCTTCCTCCTCCAAACTCATTGGTAGTGTCTTCTGCAATGTGTAAATCTCAATACAGGTTGCTTAAGACATCTTGCCAGAGTGCACTGGGTTCTTCTCACGCATGGGGCCTTGTAATTGTAACTGCTGGCTGGGATGGACGGATCAGATCATTCCAAAATTATGGATTACCAATCCAGCTTTAACTTATTGAGGAGATGACTTCCGAATTTTGCTATTTGATTTTGGCCAAAACAGGGGTTACATCACACATCTTGAAGCTTTTGTCTGTTCAGACGTGGGGCTAAAATGATTGATGATTGGTTGATTTCCTGTTTGTGTATGAGTGGGTTTAAGGTACATCCACATCGATATCAGGACGTGGCGTTGAATGGAATACATGTATTCTGATCTGATGTCAAAGCCATCCTTTTTCTTTAGCAGGCCAGCCAAGGTTCTCAGGTGTGTTATACTGGAATCAAATCATAGTTGTAGTCAAAATTCTTTTCCTGTGCTTTAGTTCTGCCGGATGTTGAGAAGTGGCCGGTTGTATCTAACTGGATCAAATATCCTGTTTAAAGATACCATTCTTTAATTTGTTGAAATTGAAAATCTAAATTAGAGGGTCATGCCAAAGAGTCCCATTTGAGGTTTTGTATATTGCTGTACAACTGGAGATGTTCTGTGGGGTCTTTTGGAGACTCAACTTTTAGAGTGCACAAGGAGGAAAATTATAGCTGGTGGTCAGGAGTTACTCTGGAAAAAAAGTGGGGCTCTTTTCCTCTCATGATTTTTTGGTAGTTGAATGATTGGCAGCCATGGTGCAGTAAGAGCTTTGGACCATTCTGGCCGCTGCTTGCATCCTCTGAGTGGATGGGGTCATTGTCAAATGACTGGTCGGTCAATTTCCACTTTCCAGTGATAAGCTGCATTTGGGTTGTTGTTCTAGTGCCACCAAGCCAAGCTAAGTCTTTTGTGTTCTACCTGGAAGAGCTATTTGGTCTACGAAAGGTTGGCTTGTGAGCCTCAATCCCATGTGATGCCAGGTAAAATCTTAGTTGTCATAATTAATTCGCAAGCTTTGTATTTAATTTTTGATACCCTTGGAACCAATTGCAAGGGTTGATTATAGAAAAGAAAAATTTGCATATAGAGGATCTGAATCTTTTTTGTTTTTTTGAAAAAGGATCCGATGTATGATTGCAAGTGTAGTGTGCTTCTGAGAAAATGAAAAAAAAAAATTACACTATTTAAGACTTAGTTACTAGGGTAGCAGAATTTGTACAATATCTGTAAAATGCGTTAAATTTGAGTAGCAAATGTACTTTTGGGCTTTGATGGCTTACTCTTGATATCAAAATAAGAAGTACTACATTTGAAAGGGCATTAATTTATTTCCCCTTTTGTTTGTGGTGATATTTGGCCGTGTTGACCTCGTGCTCATGCACCTTCAACCCAATTAACCAATAGTCTTCTTCCCCTAGCAAAAGACGAGAAAAGAAGCAGAAAACGTCTGTAATAATAAATATTTACTTGGTCAAGAAATCATCGACTACTTTTAAATTGGTTTTGGAGCCAAACATAGGCGGAGGGGGAGGGCCTTTAGTGGGAAATGCAATGGTTGTGATCAGATACCAAAAGGCGTTTGGGCTTATTAAACAGTAACAGGATAACAGTTTATAAGGATGGCATGAACACCAACTCTCATTCCTCAAGGGTAAAAAAACAAAGGATATTAAATGATTGATATGAGTCGCATAGAATTGAGTAGGATATAACAACCGATCTTCTAGGACTGCAAGAGGCCTAGGCTGCCGGCCAGCCCTGCTGCTGATTTAAATCGAAGGCTGCAGTCGTCGTTGGCTGCTGGATTTGGCCGTGCTTTCAGTGTCTCATTACGAATCAGTTGTGGGTTTAGGTCCAACACTTCAAGCATAACAAGTCTCTATTGTTAAAATGTTACCAACGTTTTTGGGCTAAACAAGTGGACCGGAGATACTTATTACTAGTTCACTACGCAAAAATTCCTCACACAACTTTATAGCCACACAGGTGGGGTAATTCTTTTTTCTTGCTGTGTTTCTTGCAAGTGAAAGTAAACTAGTAATCGTGCTAGTCCCATTGCTTTACTGCAAAAAGGTCAAGGGAGGAAAGGAAACTAGCACTCTTCTTTTCTTGGAAGTGAAAGTGGATTAGTAATCGCTCTAATCCATTGTCTATAATGTTTGCCATAGCACGAGATTTTACACTGTCCAAGATATTTGGAACTTCAAGAGGAAGGAATTTGGGACATGGCCCTGCTTCACCATCCGCCCTCCGAGTAATTAAGGCCTTGACTTTTCTTGGATGCGCTCTTATATCTAAGCAAGTGCTTTGGTGGAATTTAGATGCATCATTCTAATGGGCAATTGGAGTACGCAGCGAGAACTTCACCCGCTCTTTGTGAAACTGTTAATAAATGCTCGCTTAGTCCTCAGTCCTCACCGGATTCCGAAATCAAGTAAAAAAAGTTAGGCAAATTTCAACACAAACTCATGTTTGGTTATTTTTAATGTGTGGTGATTGGTTAAGCATATCTCAAGGTGCGTGAGCACTTTTTTTATTTTTCTTTAGTTTTGCAGGTACGTATTTAATCTTTATTTGGCTAGACACAGAGAGAGAGAGAGAGGGAAGGGAATGCATATACCAAAGTACTCTCTCAAAACCGTACTTCTCCAGTCTCCACCATGTGATATACTCACCAAGAATCATGCTTACGTGATATATGGCAACTTGGTCAATGGGAAACGAGCAGCTTGGCTATTGGGTTCCTTCTGTCTCCCATTTCTTTGGCTTGACTAGCAGTTTGAAACCGCAATTACTTCCATGTACAAACCCCAATCTTTCAATGTGCAAAATTTTTTTTTTTCACTAAATGGAAATTAAGAAAACCCCAATCTCAAGACGACCAGGAAGACATATATGTGGTCATAAATCCTCATCCAGGGCGAGCAGTCTCTTCCAACAAGCAAGATTGCACATGCTTCTTAGGTGCTTCTTCACTGGGTTTGTTGTTTGCAGAAGTTCAGCTGCAGACAACTTGGCCTCAACCCTCTGAGGAAAAAAACAAAAGAAAAGAAATCCTCTGCAGCAATGTCATGCACTGAAGGTCTGATTCAAAGTATCAATTGGGATCCTCCCATTCCATACGTATAAACAAAAGAGATGAAGAATTCCCTCCTATATAATTAACGACAATGAATTAGAGTTAGACACTCGCTACGAGACACGTAGCATTTAATTACTGCAACAATTAAGCTAGCGCTCCAACGGTTCCATTTCATATGATATTTAACTTACCTAGAATATATTTTCATGCACGCACTTTTTTCTTTTCTCCTTCCTCTTTCCTTCCAGTCTCTCCCCTGCTCCACTCTCTCTCTCTCTCTCTCTCTCTCTCTCTCTCTATATATATATATATATATATATATATATCTCTCGGGATTCTAATTACAGCATATAAATTATGAAAGTGTGAGCAATTGTTTTTGTCAACTTTTAGATGAAATTCGTAGAAAGATTTGATCGTTTTATATTTACATCAATTACGTGATATGGTCCCATGTGATTCATTAAGATATGGAGAAGGAGAGGCTTTCCATGTGTAAAAATAAAAAAATAAAACAAAAACAAGCCAATTAAGTTCTTGGGATTTAAAAGTTTTGAGGTTTCGAGGCATTTTAATTGATTAATATTTGCATGCATCTATATTTAATATTTTTTTATTATGCAAATCAGTCGGTCCACTTTATGCATATCCCATAATTAACTTGTTGGTTATATTAATAATATACACAATTAAGAAGCTTGAACTATATAATTTGATATAAATAAATCTTTCGAAACTTTTAAATGTTAAGATAATTAATTATACAAATGATTTAATTAATTACAGATCTAATACAATATTGTTAATTAATTAAACTATAATATCTAATTAAAGTTGTACTACAATCATGTTAGTTAATTAGAATTAGACCATAAATAAGATTAACCCTTGTATATGTGCATTTCATTTCTGCTAAGTAGATAAATGAATGTTTGATTACAATTTTGGGATAAAATTTTTATCTCATTCCCTATAGTTCAAAACAGCCCTAGAAAATTCTAGCTCTTTACGTTGAAAAACATAAAGCAAAAAGCGTGTTTTAGAATATAAAAATAAATAGCAGTACATATTTTCTCAAGTTGCCTATTTTAATTCAAGATGATTTTACTTTACATAGTAAAACGTTTTGACAAGGTGAAAAATATGCAAATCGGAAACAGTAAATTATAACCAATTGTGGTACGTAAATTATGAAACCTACTGTTATAATAATTCCTCTCTGGTAGCTTAATAATGATTTGATACAAATATATTATAGTAATTAATTACCATATATAATCCTTATTTATTCTAAAAGTTAAATTATTTATGAGAAAAGTTAATTTTTTTAAAAAATATTTAAATTTTACTTTATAAATAAAAAAATTATACATCAATTAATGAATCGAATATTTAAAAACTTAAAAAAAGTTAAATTTGTGAATAGAAGTCTTTTTATCTTCATTACATGTCTCGATTGATGTGTTTTTTTATAATTTAATATCACCTATCTAATTTTATATTTTAATAAAAAAATTTAACTTTTAAGCTTTAAAACTTAAAATTTAAATTTTAATATAAAAAATTTAAGAGACACATGATGTAAAATTAGACAGAGATGCCAAACAAGAATTTTGTTCGAATTTGTATTTTAATATATTTCACAAAAAATTTTGAGTTTCATTATGCTCTGTCGTGCAATCTACAAACCGCCGGCTATAAAGCCAGCTATAAATTCCCGAAGTGAAATAGGTGGTCGTGGTCATAAATTGCCATGCCTAATTCAGTCTCCCTACTAACTTTGATACCTCTTAATGAATCTTTCACCAACAACCTTCAAAAACTTAAATTATTGTACGGACTTTTTTCAAAAATGGAAAACCAATAAGGACTTGTCAATGGTGGTGGACTGATCATCCTATATAAAGTCATAAGTCCTTTCCATTCCAATGGTTAGTGCACCAGTATCTTATCTAAATAGCTTTCATTATTAAACCGAATCTAAAACCCTTATGGCATGTTCAATATACAAAATGAAATAGAATAGAATAAAATATTTATTATATAAAAATAGAATAATAAATAAATAAAATAAAATGATTATTATGTTGATTGGTTTATGAAATAAAATGAAATATGATAAGAATTGTTTTTTTTTTAAAAAAAAGTAAGAATTGTTATTATAACTCATTCTGATATTTGGTTGGTGGAAATAGTTTTAGAATAAATAATAAAATGATAAAAATACCCTTTATTATAATTTAGTAAACTAGATAAAATTATTCATTGTTATAATTAATAATTTTTTAATATTTAATTTTATTTTCATTAAAATTTTAAAATAATAATAATTTATTATTAAATTATTAATATAATTTTTATTTCAATCTCTTTTTATTTTTTCTCTACTTGTATTTTCATTTTTAATATTTTAATTTCTATTTTCATTAAAAATTTAAAGAGTAATTATTTATTGTTAAATCATTAATTGTTTTAATTTCTTTTTATTTTTTATTTATGAATTGTAATTATTTTCAATAAATAAAGATATTTTTGTCTAATAAATTTTTGACTCTAAAGATATTCCCATAGTCATGGAATAGCCATTAACATGAGAGAGGTGGGGAATGGCTAAACCAAGATTTTGGAGAATTGCCATTTCTTGAAATGGTTATTTCCCACCTCAAAAACCAACCAAACAAAAAAATAAAAATAAAAAAAAATAAAGAAGAAATGGCTTAATTAGCTATTCCCCGTCCTGAACGTGTCATTAAATTAATAAAGGGTACTGAATTTTCCCCTCAATTAGTAACTTCTATTCCAACAATTGCTGATAGTATTTATGTCCAGTGGTGTAGTGAAGTGCCAGACTGTCTATATTAGGATGTCACTATCTATTTTAAAGGGATACTTGCTCTTTCGAGAAGTTTTGGAATTTTCTATATGAAAGAAACAAAAGGAAGAAGGGAAAGGCACAATTAAGCAGTAGCAGTGTAGACCAAAAGAGAAGAAGACTAGCAAGAGCTTATATAAACATATATAAAATCTTCAGGTAATATAATAGCTTCATTCAATAAATTAATATGGACCTTAAACTTGATTATCATGTTTCCATTGATCAG